AATCGTCTAGTTGCTTATAACGAATATTTACGCTCTTTACCTCCGCATTTTACCTCTAAAGATGAACTTGAACCCCAAGGACCTTCTTCAAATTCTGGCCTAACATCTGGTCAGCAAACACCCAATTGCGAAGAACAACCCCAAAGTAAAATGAAACGTCCGGCATTCTTAACCCCTTTCCGTACCCGAGGTAAAAGAGGAGGAGGAGCTTTCAAAAGTGCCACAGAAAGAGTAAGAGATACAAGTCCAGCAAGTTCTACCACCACCGCAACAAGTGGTTCCGGCCCATCTTCACATACAAATATTGCTTGTCACTCAACTCTCAACGGATTAAAATTAGAAAGTGAAGCAGTAGGAATCGTTGAAAAAATACCAACAACGAGAATGGATATTAAATTGTGGAATCAAAAATATGATATTCGTCAAGCGTATCCGTTGAAGAGATTGTTGCCGCATAAGGTGGAAACGGTACCGGGTTGGAGTTTTATGGGGAGAGGATGTGCGTGGAGTAGAGGGGGGGAGTGGTGTGTGGTTGCTGGGGGGGAAGGGGTTGTGGGAGTGTTGGGGAGGTGGGGCGCGGGGGAGAAGTGAGATGGATAGGGGAGGGGGGATTTTATTTTTGTAGAGTGCATATTCGATTCGATTCGATATCTTACTTACTTCTGTTCACAAATTCTATGCTATTCTATTTTACATATCGCTCGGAATTTGAAATCTGGAATGTAAAAATCAGAGTCATAGAGGGAATAGTAGAGGGAATAGTAGAGAGAAAATACTAGAAAACAGAAAATAGAAGAATAAAAAATAGAAAACAGATGGAGAAAAATAGAAAGGGAAAAGTAGAAAGAACTCATCGCATTATCATAAGGTAAGTAAGTAAGAGAGAATATAATAAGTAAGAAGGTAATTAATTGAATGATTAATTGAATGATGGATTTAGAGATGGAAAAATGTTACGGGAGCTGCCTCTAGGATCATGTGGAAGTGTTTAGAGTTCTCTCGAGGTGGTTTAAACTAAACTTCAAGTAGGAACTCAATAAGGTTGTAATTAATTGTAATTCTTATAACTATAATAATGAAACTAATGATTGTTTTTAAATATTAAGCTTTATATTATAATGAAATCTATTTTCTTATATAGATCTTTGTTCTTTATTCTAATCTCTAAAATCTTTTTGATATATTGGATTATTAAGGATCGTAATATGCTTTAAAAGCGCTGAAGCTCCTTAACGCTTTATTACGTGTAATTTATGTTATGTGATGTGGTATGTTGGATGCCGTTGTAACAAAAAAATCATACTTAATATTTAATATTTAATATCTGATGATTATAGATATATATGTAATTTTCTAATTACTTCTTTCTTTCATTTCTTTTGTTTTGATTTCTTTTGTTTTCATTTCTTTTGTTTTCTTCTCTTTCCTTCTCTTTTCTCTCTTCTCTTTTCTCTCTTCTCTTTTCTCTCTTCTCTTTTCTCTCTTCTCTTTTCTCTCTTTCCTCTCTTTCCTCTCTTTCCTCTCTTTTCTAAAAAAATAAGAACTACTTACTCTCTAAATGTTACAACGGATTAGTAACAGGCTGTAGAAATCACCAACTTATAGGCTATAATGGTATTATAGGCCTCAGTGATTCAGCTGCAGTATACTGGGGGACACTAGGCATCCAAGGAAAGCCTCAGGCATGTATATAATATTAGTTATAGGATACTCTAAAAACCTAGAACATAATTCCCAGAATAGTAGATCCTAGGAAAGACAGAATATAGTAAGTAAGAAGGCTTTATTAGGATTAGTAATATCCTAGGGGATTAAATTCCAGAATAAAAGGACAAGTTAAAACAATAGGAATTATAGGATAAGTGTTATATGATTAAAAGCTGATTGACTTATCGATCAACTTGTTGATCAACTTATTGGTCGACTTTAGAACGAAGGTTTATATAGGGAATGGATTTTATTATAATATAGAGCTTCATGCTCAAAAACAATCATTAGTTTTATTATTATAATTACGAGAATTACAACCAATTACAACCTTATTGAATTCCTACTTGAAGTTTAGTTTAAACCACCTCGAAAGAACTCTAGACACTTCCACGTGACCCTAGAGGCAGCTCCCGTAACACTAAAATACGATATCTTTCTTCTCATTTTCATTTTGAAATATTATAATCTAGTATTTATATTTATATTACTTAAAGAGAGAATTAAGATTCGAATTATTAGATACAGTACTATAAAAGTCTATATAAAATGAATAAAGTAAAAAATATGAATTTAAATAATTTATATAAAGATATAATTCTTTTCTTTTTTTTAAAGAAGAGAAGAATTATATGATTTACTTAAGTATATAATTATATATTCTAATATAATAGAGTTTTTATTTTTTAATGAAAACTTGAAATTTAAGAGTTCTAGAACCTTCTCACTATATAGATTTCGATTTCCCCGCTAAAACCATTGATTTTTCAGCTTTTAAGACCTCTGTTTCTTTATTAAAACTTCATATAAAATAATTAAAATAATTCAAAGTCGATTTAAAATTGATTTAATTATATACAAGAAAAGCTAATTTATTTTTAAATGTTTTATTAATAAAGTTATAAGCTATTGAAGATAAGAATTATAAATTTTCTAAAAAAATCGTTTATTTTTTATGAGAAAAGTATTATAAATTAAAAAATTCAATTTTTTCAATTTTATATTTATATAATTCATGAACAAAAATAGTTAAAAATAATTTTTTTTTTTTTAATAAAAAATGATATCAATTACTTATTTTGAAGTTTTGAAAATAAAATTCTTTAAATTGAAAAAGTTATGAACTTTTTTAGTTTGTATAGAAAAACATTATTTTTGTAGGGATTTTGTTATAAAATTTATAGAGTATAGTAAGTAAGTTCGATAACTCTTATAATATAAAAGTATAAATTATTATATTAGCTATATTTCTAGAATTTAAAATATAAAGTATATAATAAAAGTATTCTTTTTTTCTTCTTTATTCTATAATTAAATTAAGAAAGGAGAAAGAATAAATCGAATTTAAAGTTATATATAAATAAGAAAGAGTTTTATTTATTAGAATAAAGTAATCGAATTATTAAATCAAATTGTCTTTTAAATAAATTATTATATTCAATTTGATTTAAAAGAATAAATTAAAAAGTAGAGTAATTAATTATTATATAAAGATAGATAGAAATGAGCCGTTTTTTTAATTCTTTAATAATTTCTAAATTTAATAAATGAATTCTTTTTAATAAGAAAATAACGATTTGAAACTTATAAATTTTTAAAGTAATATACTTTTTAAGAATATAAATAAAGATCAAGTTTATATAGAATTTTTAAAACTATTTTATTAAATAATTGATTTATATTATAATAAACTCTTTGACTTTATAATTTTGATTTTGTCTTTTAAATGAATTAATTAGATTTATTGTTTTTGATAAATAAGTTTCTTTTTAATTTAATATATATATATATAAAAGAATATTTCATATTATAATATAAAGAATCTAATTAAAGATTTTAAAAGAAAAAGAAAAAATTAAATAAATCTTTTTATAAAGAAGAAGGGATCTGAATTCAAAAAGTATATTAAGCTTTAAGTAAGATATAATGAATATAAAATGTAATAAACTCTATGTTCTTTTTATATATTTATAATTAAATCAAATACATTACATTCTTTTCTTAATATATAAATCGAAAAAGATAATATAAGAAATACAATATTCTAATTATTCTATATAAATCGAATATAATTATAATTAATTCAACTCTATCTATCTTCTCAAAGAATCTTTTTAAATAATTTAAATTATCATCTTAATCTTTATATAAATATCTTAATATAAATCTTAATATAATAATCTAATTCATAAATATCTTTAAATAAAAACAAATACTAATTAGTATTTATATTATTTAAAAAGAGAGGATTAGAATTTGATTACTTAATAAAGCGTTATAAAAGTCTATATAAGATGAATAATATGAATTTAGATAATCTATATAAAGATATGATTCTTCTCTTTCTTATAAGAAAGGAAAGAATCATGTGATTCGCTTAAGCACGTGATCGTACGTTCCGACTTCTTTCTTCTTTCCTCTTCTTTCTTCTCTCTTTCTTCTTCTCTCTCTCTTAAAAGAAAACTATAAAAGAGAGAAATTCAATATATTATTATTTCAGTTTATTTCATATTAATTTCACACTCCGAATAAAAATAAGCTTACAATATACTTATTCATATCATGAGAAAAATATATTTAAAATCATAGAGAATATATATCAATCGATTAAAATTCTAATTCCTAATACTAGTATGTACGGAAGATCACGTACAGATCATGTAACATTTCTTAAAGCTAGTATTTATAGTTCTTCATCGTATAGTTTAGAAAAGACAGTTAGTTCTTACTCGTTCTATTATATCCCCTATATATTACGTTGTATGCTTTTTAGAGTCTCTTTCTTCTTTTCTTTATTAGAGGCGCTACTCTTATAGTGATATTTCTATAGTATATGCGCGAAGGCTTATTCTATGACTCTATTACCTTCTACTCTTTTATACTAGATAGAGAGATAGGAAACTAGATAGCTAGATAGATGTCTAGATAGATACTTTAATTTTATTCTAGATTTAATATACTATTGTCCTCTAAATATCTAATAAATAGATAGATATCTTATTATAGTGAGATAAGATTAGAAGGGATTAAAAGGAATTATATAGGTATTCAAGAGAAGAGATGATAATATTAGGTTGAGTGGAATATAAAAGACGAAGAATCTAAATGTAGAGTCTAATATTAAGTATATTCAATCTAAGGAGCTAGCTACTTTACAGGGAATAGTAAGCCTCTTTACACTATACTAAGACTAGCTTCTTTGACATAGCCTATGAATGACTTGAGGTTATTTATTCAATCTTTGTTCATATAGATGATAAGATGGTGAGGAGGATAAGAATGAGGAAAAGATTGAGAGAGTTCAGGGGGTGTGGAGAAAAGACTTCAAATCGAGGATATCATTGAATTGAATGGATGTAATAACTAAACAGTTTATTCATAACATGAAATCCACAAAAACATGACAAAAATGAAGCTCTTCCAATCTTGGGTCTAAAACCCGTTCAAAAAAGTAATTCCATGATACTCCTATACTCCAAAAATATACTCAACAATTTCTATGCCCCAGTTTGAGGAGCAAGAATAACTGGATAATTGAGTTCTAGCGATGCTTTGGGATTACCCTTCAAAGGTACGAAATCGACAATGAGAGAATCTTTAACAGCAAAAACCGAGTCGTTTTGAAGATATTCGTCTTGTGAATTGAAGATTTGGGTTGTGAGGGGTTTGTAATTTTCGTGTTGGACCTGTAGATTATATGTTAGACGAGGTACATGTTAATTTTCATGGTAAAAGCTAAACTTACAATTAAATGAATATGTGCAGGTCGGAATGGATGTCTGTCTAATAGTTGGAGGATTTTACCAGCAGGACCTTGAAATGATTAGGTTTACCTCTCAAAAAGGACAAATAACATACCATCAAAAGGAACAGGATATGGAGTTGGTTTCAAGCAATAAAATCCATAATGTCCATTCTCATCAGTCTTGAATTTTCCTCTCAAATTATGTTCCGCTTGTTCGTCATCTTGTTGCTCATATAATCCATTTGTGGATGCTTGCCATGTATCTACCGTAGCTCCAATGATAGGCTTTTTGGTCTTATGATCTGTGACTATTCCATGCATATATACTATTTCTCCATCATCGACTGGGGTTTGAATTATCGAAGATTCGTTTTCTAAAACGGGCGCATCGTGGCGGAAGAATGGTCCAAGAATCGCACTTGCGGTGGGAGCATCAACTGCATCTGCAGCTTTTTTGAATGTGATTTCGTCTACGAGTCTGTAAAGTTTACGTGTTAGAGGTATGAGATATAGAGCAAAACTTTTGGAGAATGAAAACCTACGATTCTAAACCAATCACGTCGCAAACCAATTGTCCTTCATTTCTCTTATGGTCGCTCATCTTTCCGGCTTCATTCAAAAGCTCAACTCCCAACATCCATTCATCAACGGTAAGTTCTACTTCTCGCGCAAAGTCGTGGACATGTTTGATGAGACAACTCATCACTTCTCTCATACGAGGACTCGTCTTGGGTCCCATTGCATCGATGACATTTTGTGTGAAGTTTGGATCGAATTTAGGTGAGGCGGTGCCATTGGTATTTGTTGTTGGGTTGGCCATTTTGGATATATGAAGAAGTATGAGTGAGAGTAAACGAAGAAAGAAACAATGATCACAATATATCGATCATGTCATGAAGTTAATAAGTATTGGACGACGTTGAATATATATATGCGTCGGAAGGGTACTGCACTTCCGACGGATCATGGCGGCTTATTAGAATCAACTTTCCATGTAAAGCATCACTTTCTCGGTCCACATAATGCCCAAGATTTCTAATGGCTTACCATTGATGAGACAATCCCGTCCTATATGTTATAATTGATAAGTTTTGGACCCCGCAACATCCCACAGCATGAATTGGATTATCGGTGTTGACGGAATGAATTGGTAGATGAAGCCTTGGGATGTGAAATGTGAAGGGGAACTTATTAGGTAAGCCATAAGGTACCGTGGTGGGATTCGGAGATAAGGGATTGGAACCAATCGGAAGCTTGGGATTTACGAGCCAATTTGGACGGGGAATCTTGGAAATGTTGTTATCTCCCCGATGATAAAACCCCCACAAGGAATGATTCATGCAAGGTTACCGGTGAGCACTCCGCATGGTCCATTGTCCATGGGATGGGAGAGGAGAGGAGAGTACGATTGATTGCTGTTGAACACCAACTCTTTCTCGATTCTCTTGAAGATCATAGTAATATCAAAGTTGAACGTGGGATATTTCCATACACGCTATCATTTGATGAAACAAAAGCGGAAGATTCAAATGAACATCCTATTGAAGTCGTTTTACAACATCTCACTGATGATCAAATGAATCCCAGGCAGAGTCAAGCAGCAAGAGATGGAGCAGCATCTTCCGATGGTCTCTTCCGAAGTAACATAGCAGCTGATATGATATCGATGAAGTTTTAAGTGACGCACATGAAAATGAATTAATCGTGATGAATGAGACGGACAAGGCAAAATATCTAATAGGACGTGATGGTGCGCATTCTTGGACATGAAGACAATTAGGATTTCAACTCTTCATCCGTGGTGTAGCAGGAAGGGTGATGATTATAATAAGATCTATGTGGTATGTGGATGATCACTCGTATCATGAAGGGTATAGGAAGGTGTATGAGGGGTTTGGAGTGGATGAGATGAGGGGGTGTTTGGTGCTGGTGAGATCAGATCGGATGTTGGTTGGATTGGGGAGTTGGAGGATGGATGGAGTTTTGAGAGGTTCCTTTTTGGGGGGTGGGTTATTGTGGGGGATGGGAGAGGATGGAATGATATGGGGATGGAATGAGATGGGAGGGGATGGGAGGGGATGGAATGGGACGGATTTTGATGGGTGAGGGTGAGGGTGAGGGTGTTGAGGTTGAGGTTGGGGTTGGAGTTGGGATGTAGAGATCTGTAGATTATAGGAGGATTGGCATTCGATGGGAGTATACAAAGTTCTGGACAATTATGTCCACAACCAAATGTGGTTAAAATATACATACTGACTCGGTCTTATATTGCTAAAGTATACAGTGGAAGTGGAGATTTACTCCTAAAACGGCAATCAAACGTCCCGAGAGTATCAGGCGGAAACAGCGAGCCCGCCTTGGTTTTAGATATGCAACAAAAAGAAAAAATTGGATGTGGATGTGGATTAATAGGAGAGAGAGGTGAGGAGGGAGAGTGTGAAGGAAAGCTTTGTTTTGTTGCAAATCTGTAGATTTTGGGGGATGGGGGGATTGGGCCTAGGAATCGCTAGGAGTGGCGAAAAGGAGGAGAGGCGGGACGGGGGGTTCTTAGAAATGGTGGAGATCTCTTTGCATCAACCTGTGTGTAGCTGTTTTCGCCTGAATCCCCGTTGAAGATGCCTTGGTCTTGATGAAAAAAGGAGAAAAGGACATATCTCACGGAAATTGATGTGGGTGTTGCTGAAATCAATTTTTGAACTGTTTTTACCTGGGCACTATTGAAATCAGTCTAGATGTCGCTGTTTCTGCTTGGGTCTCGCTGAAAATGGCGACAAACTAGAAAGATCGATAGACCTCTGGAAATAGCAGAGATCTCCTTGAAATAAACCTGTGCATAGCTATTTCTGCCTAGGACTAGGATCTGGTGTAACAAGCGTGGATGTGGATCTCGCTGTTTTGATAGGCGTTTATGGCGGGTGTTGATATTGAAGTTGATTTTGATATTGATACTGAGGTCTAGCTCGACCATCATCAAGAATACTAAAGGGATTCGAGTGGCATGGTAGTTATTTCTGCGGTTTTGTGGACTTGCGGGCAAGGTTTGGATAAGGCTTGGGTAGAGGTTGGGGTATGATTGTTGGTTTATATGGAGAGAGGGGGGAGGAGAGAGGTGTCTTGTAGTGCAAGGTAAATGTGGTTGTTTCGACTAAGATTCTTAGGGGTTTTTATTCTAGGGAAATTTTGTTGTTTGCTGTTGTTGTTGTCGCTGATATCATCGTCATCGTTGTCGTTGTCGTTCAATCTCTACCATCACACATACTAATCTACACATCAAGCTATAATATATAAGAACTCGACTAATTCAAATTCAGCGAACTTTCCCAAATCTGCTCTTCTGTAGCAAATCCAACTTAAGAAAAGATGCTGTGATTGCTAATGCGTGCCCGTTGAGGTATGAAATATCTTTTCGGGGAGAAGGAGGAGAGGTGGTTCATATACTCATGATTCATTTTCTATATTCTATCTGGGACTTATGAGTGAATTTCTGACCTGCACTCTCGATTGGTATTTAGGTATTCACTTGTTGACCCTTGAATCTGAGTGTATTGAGAAAAAACGCTGTACCTATGATTCGTCATCATACCTAAGTAGTATCTATACACTACTCATTCACCCCCATACAATCTCCCCAGGCGATCTCCCCAGGCGATCTCCTACCAGAAATCTCCCCAAGAACAATATATATAAGACCCGCAAATCCAAAAAGAAAAAGGACAATAATTTCTTACACACGTGCGAACAGACCTCAGGATGTATTCTTCACGGAGTCTTGAGATGAAACGAAGATTATGACTTGCGGCGGGGATCAGATAGGTTGGTCGGCACTTGGTGTTTTTTTTGGTTTGATTTTATGCGGATGATGAATGATAGAGGGTGGGTAATGGATTATGGAGGGGAGATAATATCAATGATATATTCTCATCGAAAATCCAACAACATCATCCAGATACCCAACGTTATCAAATCCTACCACTGTAGAAGCATTTACACCAAGTACTAACTAGCTAGGTATACAAAAACACAATCCCACAACCCCTCGATTTCTATTTCTTCTCCCTCAGAGAGATGCTTGAGTTACACATCTCTCCGCCAGATCCTTCTGCAACAGATTTGTTTGCCTCTTCTCAATCCACATAAAGAAAAAGAAATCGAAGAGTAGAGGAGGCAGGTTTTATACTCCCCCCTTCTTCTTTTCTCGCTTCATGTATTGTGATTCATTCATTTTATATTGACTTTTGAGTAAGTATGAGGGAGGTGCTGGATATTATCTAAAAATTATCAAGAAAATTGGGATGGAGATGGAATATAGAGATAGAGATGTAGAATGGATTTCTGGGGAAATATGATTTCTTGAATGAATAATCTTTCTCCATGACCGGTATGTGATAGGTAGGTATGCGGTAGATCTCCCGTCCTGATCTTTTGAGTTCGTTTTGTGTAGTGGGTAGATTAGGGAGTAGGTGATTCAGTGAGTGAGTGGGGGAGGGAGTGAGGAAGTGGGGGAGTGAGTGTGTGAATGGATTTGAATTGAATTGAAAGAACTGTTTTCTTGGAAATAGATAGATAGTTAGAGATATATATGCATAGGTACTATATATAGGTAATTTTCAATATCCTATTTCTTTTATCCTCTAATACTCTCTTTTTATATAACGTAACTTGACTAGAAGTGGGTTATGTCATGATATGAGTCAAAATCACCCCCTCATTTCTTTATTTTACATGTTTATTCAATACATAATGAATCGAAAGTCATTAAATCGTAATGAATTGAAAGATAATATTCAAAAGGCTATAGAAAATCTAAAAAATAAACAATTTATTTCAATTCGAAGTACTATTATTCATTTTAAGATTTCGAAGTCAATCTTGATAAATCGAATAATTGGACAACAATTATACTTTTAATCTCATAAATCCTTTTAAAAACTTTTTAATGTGGAAGAAAAGATTCTAGTATAATAAATCTTACGATTGACAGTTACTAGATACCCTACAACTTTTAGGTTGTTGAAAGAAATGATCTAAGAAATTCTAAATCAATATATCATTTTCATGTTACCATCTATCTCTCCATCCTTTCAATCAAATTATATAGGTTAACGATGGATTTATAGATTCTTAAATCGATATCCTAAACTTAAAGGAATCTATTCTTATAAATTAAAATCTGCAAGATATAAAAAAGCTACATTTGAAACAATTTCAGCATGGTTTTCAATATTTCAAGTATAAATCGAAAAACAACATTATAAAATTAAGAATATATATAATATGAATGAGATAGGATATACAATTGGAGAAATAGAATCAATATGTATAATTATAAATTCTACTCTCAAATCGAATTAGAAGGTTATAGCAAGAAAGTAAAAGTGAATAACTATATTAAAATATGTGAATGCAGATAGAGACTCTTTGCTTTTTTATAATCATTTTCAAGGCTTAGAATATCAATATTATATAGATTTCAATTAACATTTTTCTAAATTAATATTTCTCAATAAGCAATAGTGGGTAGACTTTTAATAATTATAACTTTAAATGAATATATAAGGTTTTTAAGTCAAAATCTTGAAAAATATTAGGAGATTAGTTTTGATTATTGATTATAAATGATTATTCTAATTATATTATAGAAAGTTTGATTGCTTTTTATATTAAAAAGGAAATTGATCTTTTTATTCTACTACCTTATTATTCATATTTACTTTAGTTATTAAATATTAGAGTGTATAGACCAATAAAGCAATATCATGCCTAAAAAATTAATCAATACTTTTGAACAGGAATATAACGAATATAATAATCTAATTAAATACAGCTTTTTCAAAAGATAAGAGAAAAAGGTTTTACTTATCAAAATATCAAAAGTGGATGGAAAGGAGCAGGTTTGAATCCATTTAATCCTCATCAAATTCTAAATAATTTTCCAATTTTGCTTTTACTATCACCTTCCATTTTAAATACACCAGTAAACCTAAAAGATTGTTACGACGACATCTAACATACCGAGTCACCTGATCAGAAAGTCACGGGATTAGAGATTCCCACTGGATCCCACTGCTCCCACCTGGTGGGACACGATGGGATCAATGGGACAACAAGGAACGAAGGTCTATATAAAGAATGGGTTTCATTACAATGTAGAGCTTCGTGCTCAAGAACAATCATTAGTTTCATTACTATAGTTACGAGAATTGCAACCAGTTACAACCTTATTGAATTCCTACTTGAAGTCTAGTCTAAACCACCTCGAGAGATCTCTAGACACTTCCACGTGACCCTAGAGGCAGCTCCCGTAACAAAGATCTAGATCTTTCTTTGCTTAATAACTTTCCCCCGAATGATATTGAGCTGTAACAAGCAAATAAGGTATTTAATTCAGCTTTATCCACTAATAATCTGTTTACTTCTTTAGTATAGAAATATACAAAGTGAATAACTCATCAAATTGAAAACTTAAATATTGAAAATACTATTCTTCAAAAGGAACTTTAAGAATATAAAAAATTACTTGAAATATAGAAGAAATGAAAAAATAGAAAGAGAATAAAATTAAAAAATGAATTTGTATTTAATATTGAAAAAGTATTGAAAATTATTGAGAAGGTTGAATAAACACTCTTACTAAAACGACAACATGGTAAACCATTTAAGCATCAAATTGATTAGGTAGAAAGAAAGACGAAAGAGGAAGAGGATAGTAATAGTTCAGTTGGATTAGTGATAGTTGTAGATCATCCTGTAGTATGTAGGACAAGGTCAAATAGGAAAATATGATTTTTGTAACCCATATCATGACATGACCCACTTCTAGTCAAGTTACGTTATATCTATACAATTATTATATCATATATCCCGTGTCCCACATGCCACACACCACTCTCCGCAATACAAAAACACAAAACACAAAAACATTTATACTCAATCCCAACCCTTGATATCAACATCAACATTCACTCTATTCCACTCTCTCATAAATCCCCTTATAATGTAATCGAAAAGTCTGAGATGCAAGATTATTATCTCACTCTTGAGATCTTCTCGGAGATCTTCACTTAGGTATCGAATTGAGATATGTAGATCAAATTTCAAGGGTGAGAGATCCTGAAAATAATTTGGGAGTTGTTCATTTGATGATGTGTGGAATGATGAGATGAGATGAGATGGGATGGGATGTGCCATAATGTTAGATGATGAGAGATGAGAGGCGAGAGATGAGATGGTTTCAATACTAATATTCTCGGATGATGGATCATCTTGTATTGATAAAATATGCAATGGAATATGTATATAGTAGGCGGATTTTCAGATATACAAACTTTGAGGTTTTGGGGATATGGGATGGATGATAGGTATGATATTGTGATTAGAGTATTCGATATAATGAGATGTGTGTGGATACTTCACGAGAAAGAAAATTGGAATGATCTGTACAGGATATTTATTAACAGCACACAGATTATTGTAGAGAAAATTGGTATGCTCTTTTGTTCGTTAGCTCCTCGCCATCGATGTGCAATCAAACACTGGGTTGAGAACCCAGGCCAGTGATGTATAAAACACAGAACAGAATAACAACTATGTCATCCAAAAAGAAAACAACTTCTCACTCAAACCTTCAAGAATCATATAAAATAATAGATAGATGGACCACAACAACACCAAAAGCTATCATCCTAGAAGACTCCAAAGTGACATTCATACCCCAGACACCCAAGCTAACTAGATATTACTTTTCTTTCCCATTACTTTTTATAACTTCCCTTGAAAACTCTCAAGAAATCATTTTCTCCGTCACCCTCATTCCATCTCACGAGTGGTTTCAAGCCCGCGAATTTCCAAACCCCATTAACCTTTTTATAATAATGTTCATTGGTCGCATGGCTATGACCCTTCAATTTGATTTCCTTCAAATCCGCATTCTTGTACACTTGGTGACCAGCTCTCAATTGATGATGTCCAATAACATAATCGTCTGAGATTTTTTCCCAGCGAGTAGCACCGAGAAGATGTTGGGTCTTGACGCAAGGATCGCCGAGGAAATCGTCATCGGTGACCATGGCCATGAATTGGGAAGCGGGCATGGCTTCCCAGCAGGCTTTACCAATGGTGGTGTAGTCTACGAGGAGCTCGGGTGCGATGATGGATTCGAGTCTTTTCCAGTCCTGTGGGAGTGTTAGGAGATGTAGGGGATAGGTGGGAGGGAAGTATAGGGTTGGGTTACCTTTGCATCGTAGCTGTCACCCCAATCAAAGACTAATGCTGTGAGGTCGAGGTAATCTATATCTTATTAGCATTGTCCATTATCATCAATTTCTTGTTCGAAGACCAAGTAGAGAGTGCTTACCCTCGAATGAAATTCTTCCTTGAGCCATAGCGATTGAGGATGTGTTATTTGTGTGGGTAGAGGTTGATGTAGATGTGAAGATGAGTGTGAATTGAATGTCAAAAGAAAAATCGAAAGAACAACGACGACTTCCACATCATATATGTACACTACTAGAACTAACGATCCAAGCATGAGCTATCTTGAGCTTGAGCTTCGCGGCACATCGATTCCTCGCGGCCTCGCTCTTTAGTGAAATTCCTGAGCCCGAGTCCGGCTGCTTGTACAACCTCCGGACGAATATGCACGCCATGACCCCTGGTACCTTTTTCTGATGGATAAAACGAACGTTATCCTAGTGATAGTGTGGTAGAATGCTATCAATACCGAATCTTGTTCGGACTTCCTCCAGTTTTGGGACGGATTTGAAACAACTAAAACGAACTGTAGAGGAGTTTGTTGTTTCTCATCGCATCGCAACAATGGTGGGAGCTCCGTAAGCCAAGGCTGAAATGGTGATGATGAAGTTGATGACGATGAGATTAGCCCGGACTTTACTGGGATCGTGTTGCTGCATGTTGTTTTCTGGCTGCATCTCGCAATCGCTTTTGATATTGTTTCATGGTTAATGGCTACTATGCTGGTGTTAGATCTGTCAAACTGAATCATGAAGTTATCAGTGTCGATCCAAAGACATGGGTTCAGGTGGAGAGTGACCTCGATGTGGGGATGTTTCAACCCTAAAGATAGTAGTCCATAGCCTAGCCAAAGCGGCCCTCACTCAGTGCATCTAATAGTATAGCCCAACAACTTTGACAATTTCTCGTATTAATTGGCAAATATTTTCCGTTCACCAAACTCAATGGGAATCAGATCAGATGATTGAAAATCTAGAAGTAAGAATAGAATTGCTCCAGGAAGAAAGCATCCAGTCTCCATTAGTGATTTGATTGGTAGATGATTAGACCTTCAGCTTGCAAAGCTTTCGCTTACCTGGCTAAGGTTATCCTAGTGAGTGAGCGGACTACACTTGATCCTACTACCAAAATCCGTGCATTGCCGTGCGGAGAATTGTTGAAACTTATTGTCAACAATTGTCAAGAATATAAATTGGGGAATTTGTAAATTGCCGAGTTATTTGTTTGGAGTTTGCGAGTTATTGGGCCCTGTCCTTTGTTGGTAACCATATTGGGTAATGGTGATAATCTGTAATCCGTACTTTTCTTATTCTCATCAGCGATTCAGCGCATCGAAATTGCATGGGTGTCAGTATACACAAGAATTTCAAACTGCACGAGCACTGCTTATGGATGGAATGGAAGCCTCTAAAGCCTCGCCGCGTTCTTATGTACGCCCGAAGACCGAAAGGTCCGAGGAGCTGTTGTGGTTGGGTTTATCCAGTGATATAAGATGTCCATTGCCCATTTCAATATACAACTTCATTTATCGTTCCACGCTTTATATTGCTGTATAATCTTTCTTGCACCTTTCGTACTTTCATATCATATACCCATTTTTACGTTACGTTAAATATTTATAAAAACATAATGTCTGCATCACCAGCACCATTCAAGACCCTTGAGGGAAAGGTCGCTCTCGTAACAGGTTCCGGGCGTGGAATTGGTCGAGGTATTGCTCTTGAGCTTGCTGCCCGTGGTGCAAGCGTTGTTATCAATTATGCCAACTCTGCCGGACCAGCTGAAAAGGTTGTTAAGGAAATTGAGGCACTCGGTAGCAAGGGCTTTGCTATCAAAGCCGATGTCTCCAAGGTCCCAGAAGTCAGGCGTTTGTTCGAGGAGGCTAAGGCACATTTCGGGAAGCTCAATATTGTTATGAGCAATTCGGGTACCGAAATCTTCAAGGAGGAGGAAGATGTTACCGAAGAGGATTACGACAGAGTTTTCGGCCTCAACACCAGAGCTCAATTCTTTGTTGCTCAACAAGCTCTTATCCACCTCGAGGAATACGGAAGAATTATTTTGATGTCTTCCATCGCTGCCAATATGTCTGGTGTACCAAACCATGCTTTGTACGCTGGAAGTAAGGCGGCCGTCGAAGGTTTCGTTAGATCTTTCGCCAAGGACTGTGGTAAAAAGAAGATCACATGCAACGGTATTGCTCCCGGTGGAATCAAAACCGATATGTACGAGCAGTAAGTTCTTCCAAAGCCTAGTCCCAAGAAGCAACGCTAACATAGAATAGAAACGCATGGCATTACGTTCCAGGTGGATTCGAAGGTATGGATGTAGATATTATTGACAAGGGACTCGCTTCAGTGTGCTCACTTGGACGTGTCGGTGTTCCACAAGACATCGGAAGAGTTGTGTCATTCTTGGCAGGCCCTGAATCTGAATGGGTCAATGGTAAGGTCTATCATGATCATTTGATTATTCGTGTGACTAACGTTATGTAGGACAAATTCTTCAGCTCAATGGTGGTGGAAAGTAAAATAGTAATATCGTGTGGATCTGAAGTTGATGGAGTTATGCATCATGAATGGTCGGTTCTTTGCAGGAGTACCTCGTCCGGTTTATAGACGATAAAATTCTAGGGACATATAGAACGAATGAAAATTATAATAACATCATTAAATATTGATTTGATCTTGTAAATGATGATTGATGCAGTTCTCGTGTTTCCGTATGTGAGAGTAACTTGATTGAATGATTTAGCCATATATGCATTCAAGATTCATTTCTGACATCACATCCACTACACACAAGATGAGTTAGTATATCCTTTAACGGTGCAAGGGTGAAATTTTCAAAAGGATTACGATAAAGTGAAGTGACGTACTCCAGAATACTTCTTGTCCAATATCAGCCCTTGCCCAAGTCTCTTCTATCAGTATTAATGCTTTCGTCATGGGCTTCGCAGGTAAAGAGAGTTTGAACTCTTGAAAACGAGTTATGATGAAACGGCGAGCTGCCGCAATATCCACTTCAAAATTAGTGATGCTATTGGAAATTGCTGCACCACCTATGGTGGAGCCATTTCTGTAACCAGGTCCCTCGAATTGGCTTGCTCCAAAAGGACTGTCGATAGAAAATGCGTTCATTGATGCTGTAGAGAATTTAAGCTCACTGGCAGCAACAATCATGACAATAGGTTGAAGACATCGAGTACCAGATGTTGACGGTATTTTCTCGAGAATAGATATTACATGGAGCGCAAGCGATATCAAAAATTCCTCAACAGAATGCGAAACTGGTAAGGATAATATCTCTTGAGAGTCAGGCTGTCGATTTAAATAGATTGAAGGAAATACGCGATATATCTCCAGGAGAGCAGCACATCGATATGCTTCCGCTAGCAAGATGTACTGCCTAACGGGTGTATTCTCGTCACCAGCATCAATAAGTTCGGTCTCTGTTGGTAAATTTACTGCCAGTAAATTTACTTCCAACTGCCGTGCTCTGTTTGTCCACTCGATGCTAGCGAAGACAGTTGATTGAAGAGGTATAGAATTGAAATCAAAGAATGGATCACTGAGAGCAATATTCGGAATTGGACTGAATGTTGACTTTCGATAAGATCGAATCAACCTTCCGACCTGGGCGAATAACCGCTGAATTTTCGGCGCTACTCCAGTCCAGGGGTGAGGAAATATTTGGTGGTCTGTGTTCGGGACGGTGGCACTTGCTACCAGCGTACTGTCCTCCTCTAGCATGGCGATATCTTCTTCATCTTCAACAAATCCAGCCAACATATCCCAGTACAAGATACACTGCTGGAAAAACTCATTTTGCCGGCGCACTTTGTTATCTAAATTCGCACCTTGTTGTAATAGGCGTTGCTTGTACAGTCTCTTAGCCGTCTTCAGATGTGCTAAGCCTAAATCTCGAGGATTGTGCCATGCTGTAGTTTGACCGACCAAAAGCACAGTCAAGAGAGTCTTGTCAATATTATCATGCGATTCCACTCCAGCACGGTTCGATTGATATAAGCACTTAAATGTCTCTCGTTGCATTTGTGCCCCGACAACGGACATGCGTGGGAAGTCATGTGAAAGATAAGCAGCGGCCATGCTCTGAATAGCGTAGTATATCGGTGCTGAGTCGTCCCAAAGCTGGCCAACAGTAGACCGAAACGGATTGAAAATGCCATCAAATGAGGAGAATATTACACAAATATACCCAAAATAGTATTCCACAAGCATGGTTGGAAGATGAACGAGAAACTCAGGTACAGTCGAGTTATTTAGTTGATACCGAATGGCGGAAAGACTGTCAGTGAAATTAGGATTGGAAAATCTCCGAACCGTAGTCTCAGGGCTCTGTACAGATCCATTTTGGCTTCCTTCGCAGGATTCGACACGTGCAATAAGTTCTGAATCGTCTTCTTTTGTCTTTGATTCCGTCACTTCTCTGCCGGGCATCTGATCCACGGAAGATTTCAACCCGACCTCCAACTGTCTCTTTAGAGCTTTTGCTGAAGATGGTAGTGGTCTATCATTAATCTCAACAAGAATCTTCTCATGCTTTGTCGACCAAACTAGTCGTTGTGAAGCATAGCAACACTCTGCTTTTCTCTTGACGCATTGAAGGCAATGCGGCTTCTTCTCATCACATTTCAACTACCTTCATGTCATTACTCAAGTCATTATGTTCCTGACAAGCGAGTCTTACACGTTTGGTCTTGCATCTTTGACAACCCTGACGCGATTTCGGGGCTCGACGCGCATTGGTCACATTTTCCTGACCTACAATTGAAGAAGATGAAGTGCCTGAAACTTCTGAAGTGGAAGAAATATCCATCGTGGTACGGAATAATCTTGCGAAGGTAGAGTTGAAACTCGATTGGCATTAATCAACACTCTGCCCAAGTATTGTCAATGGCAAGATGGATTCGATTATCGAACATGAATCAGAGTGGGGAAAACCTGCCATGGCTCACGTGATTATACAAACTCGGCCTAGTGCTACTGGATCATGATCAATCGGTTTGAGTTTGACAACTCCAAGGATGTCATTGAACTCAACTTCATCATTCCCAATATCGTAATACTTGCGCACCTTGCTACATGAATCACCAACACACATCAAATTATGATTCGAATTTCGTCTTCTTACTTCCAGATATCTTGGCGTTCCTCGATGTTCTTTCCATCAACACGGTAGACATCGCACTCAAGTGAAGTCTTCTTCTCAATGCAACATATGGCACTTTCTTTGTAACAAAAAAAAAGCAGGAGGCAAGGAATTTTAAGGATTGGGCGCAGCTTTCACGTGATTTCCAAGCGCTCTGATATATCTAGGACTACATTCGAGTAGAACTTCGCAGCAAGAAGGCTGACTCGAGGCTGGCTTCATTGGCGATGTGTGTTCTGTTGTTATTTCATCCAAACTCACAACCCGTGCGAGATGGATTGACATTTCATATCCCAATCACTTCAAGAGTGTTTCTGTAAAGGCATAGTTGTCACGTTTCAGGGACTTTCAAATGAAGTTGTGGGTACATGTGATATTTAGTTCAAACTATTTCACAGCCACGGTCATCACCTAGCCCAGAAGTGTCTGGTGTTTGGGCGTTAAAGACGAATCATTTCTACTTCAAGGTCGGTTATTGTCAACTCCTCCATCGTTCTAGAGGTTCTATTGATTTTCCAATGTTCTGCCAAGGTCCGGGCGTTGGCCTGCATCTGGATTAAGAGCTCAAATTGCCAAAAGCGAAACATCTCACGATTTGAAACAAGTCTTCAGACATATAAGGGTTAACTTTATCATTGGATGACAATGCTGAGGGGCCATGTTTCTGTCACATGTGAGCTTGAGATCTTGTGTGGTTGGCTTATGGTTATCACCTTACTGCTACTCGTCTGTCATTTTCAGCCCATAACCCTGGATGATTATGCGGCAAATCATAAAAATATTCTTCGATGAACTGCCATACTCCTTCTATTGACGGATAGGGCGAAACCACTGATGTAGTTGTATTAAAAGGGATTAGACTCTTGGCGGTCACATCATATCAGCTCGCAATACCATTTTCAAACTTATCTATCAACTAACTGCCATTACCTCGCATCATATTTACACCACGAGGGGAAACTATTGCGACTGGTAAAATTTCGACAGCTTTTTAAGTCCAGGTTCAAATCTTTTGCCGATCTCGTCATGGTCAACACGGGTAAACCATCGAAAGGATGCTACTTATGTAGAGCGAGGCGGATCAAGGTATGTTTTCTCTCTTCGAAATATCAGCATCAAAGTATGGAGCATTAGTTTCTAATCATTATTCTAGTGTGATGAGGGTAAACCTTCATGCCTGAGATGTCAAAAGTCAAAACGAGAATGTCCTGGTATGGTGTTATTCCAGTACATCTAATCTATCTGTCATCAATAATAACAATAACAGGCTATCGCGATGAGTTCGAGCTCAAACTTAGAGATCAAACTAAAGCCACCAAACGAAAGTCTTCAGCTTGTTTCGAGACTGAGATTCCAACTTTCACAGTAGACCCGTATAGCTATCAATTTGGCCAAAGTGGAAATGACCGACCAACGAAAAGAAGAATGAATACTTCGGAGAATGGGACTATTTACAGAACTATCGATTCTATCAAGACTGCAACCACAAACTCATTCTATATATCTTCGTACAATGCTTGTGGTTCACCTGAGCCAAGCATGCCGATATCACCAGTCTCAGACATCGAGAATGAGCTCCTCAGGTCACCCAAAACTGTTATCCCTCGTCAATTCTCGCCGCCAATCGATCAACAAGCTACCTGCTTCTTCTTTTCCAATTTTGTTCTTCTTCCGCGAGGACGCACGGCCAAAGGAAATCTGGATTTCCTCATACCACTCGTATATGACAGCTCAAGAGAAACGTCACTTGTGCTTGCTTTAAATGCTGTAGCACTCGTGGCTTTCGCGAATCAACCAAATGCTAGGAAGCTTCTACCTCTAGCTGATAGGCAATATGTGACGGCTTTAAATCAAATCAACAACGATCTTCAAGATGTACATAAAGCAAAGGAAGATGCAACCTTGGCAGCAGTGTTTTTATTGTCCTTCTATGAGGTAGATGAATCTAGGTCTTGGTATTCATTCATGCATAATGCTTACTCTCAGACTAGCAAATAAGCTCTCATCCTATGTCCCTAATTGGATGGGAGTCTCATATCAATGGAGCTGTAGCACTAGTGAAAGCTCGAGGTAAAGGCCAGCTCGACACAAAGATCGGGCGCTCTTTATTTGACGCCGTTAGAACGCATATGGTAATTCTTTAACGTTACCAATGCATGAGATGAAGCTAATTATTTGTAGACTGTCGAGTGTATCAGCCGTTCGAAGGATGTTAAAGAAGGCATCGACTGGTGGACATCTTTTGCATCAGAGGATAAAGTTCAACGTGTCGTATCAGAGCTCAACCTCAAGGTTGCAGACTTACGCGCAGAAACGCACAGGATCTGTACTCTTGAAGGACATACCACAGAAAGTATCGAGAAGGTACTCAACCACATGAAGAAAGCAGAACGGATCGAAAAAGAATACGTCGACTGGTATGCCAATCTTCCTGAAGAATGGACACCCAAAGTGGTGGCTTGGGTTGATGATACAGCGGAGAAAGACCTTGAATTCACACCTTGTTATCCAGGAAGAGTTGATGTATACGGCGAGCTGTGGATGGCTACTACACATAATATTGTACGCGCCTCGAGATTGTTCATCCTAACCACTATTTTGCGATGTACCGCATGGATCACTGCCGACCTCGATTACAAGATTACACCGGAATACGTCAAGATTTCAAGACAAGCAAGTGTATTAATTGAGGATATCGTGTCTAGCATTCCATTTTTCTTCGGCTGGAAAGCACCAGATAGCGAATTTCCAATATCCGAGAACTCATATTTCCCTTGTGGAAACGATAGCAAAATAAGTGGGAAGGGCGTAACGGGCGTATGGGCTATATGGCCAGTATTTGCAGCGGCGGCATCTGATTTCGCGACTAATTCTCAACGCTTATGGCTAAGAGGAAGGCTGAAATATATTGCGGAACATTTGGGAATCCGTCAAGCAGAGATGTTACTCCAGGTATGTCGCCCTCTTTCCTTTCCAATTAATATTTTAACAATTTTCGGTAGTTGCCAACTCGCTATCCCTCAACTTTTATATATAGAGATAGGATCAAGATTGAAGATCTGAAGAGGGCCAAGATGGCCAGCATGGTTGGAGGAAAGTATTCATCGATGTGCGGAACTCCTGCGACGAGTACATAATCTTGTGTTCCCACTGTACAGTAATTGTACACTAAAATTTCTTTCTCTGTCATTTATTATACCGTTTATAATAACTTTACAATATAATTTTCTTTGCTTGAGATGAAATCAAAAATGTCCCATTGACATATCAATTTGTTGCACCAATTGAATCGGCTAATAGTTCCCGCGCAAAACAAAGCGGATAATAAGACGAGCGATAGATTACCCGACCCGATCAGCTATCCGACAGACACACGTCCATTTGTGGTACCTCCTTGTCTAAAAGGCGTAGAAGTTGTAGGCAACTATAGTTACTGGCTCCATCGTATATTTCCCCTTCCATTCCTTCAAAATACTAGGATGGGACACAGAGGGTGGAGTCATGGAATCCTGTGCCGTACGGGGTAGAGGATTCTACCCCAACGGACGTCCGATGTGTTTACATTGTTTTACATTGAACAGCAAGTTCGTATATTGGGAATGGAAGTAAGCATGAGAGTAGCACTCTATCTAGTTTTCGGGAATGACTCTTAAGAAGTAATTGCGTGGACGTGTATTTCGGTCAGACAACTGTCATTGCATACTGGGCAGAGGGTCGTTTAGTAGATGAAGTGGCATTATCACGTGTTTATAGATTTCAATCATTAGATACATGAGAGAACAAGTCTCATTTACTTGTCATCTCAGCACAGTCAAGCGGATCGAGACTACGAGTCCATCGCGGTTGATGTATAATGAAGATATCTTCTCAAATCACGTGCGGCTATCTCCCCGACATGTGGGCCGCATCTCTATCCGCATGAAGCTATAGACGGGTATGGAAAGAACTCCCGTTCGGCACAAAACTAACAACCTATCTCGAATAAAAAGAAAAAATTCCCAAAAATCACCTACATTAAGTCAATTTCTCTATCTTCATCATGCCCTTCATACCCCTGAACCGGAAATCAATCTTCTACACCCTCACCCCTCAAACGGAAACCCTCCAGAACCCAGTAACCACACTCTTCATCCACGGACTGGGTTCCTCGTCTACATTCTACCATACTTTTATTTCCTCCCTCTCTAGCGTCTCGACATGTATTACTTTCGACACCCCCGGATCCGGTTTATCTTCTCTGGCTGATTCAAATTCGCCACAAACTGTTGCGTCGATTGTCGATGATGCAATTGCACTTCTGGATGCACTTTCCGAAACTGCAGGTAAGGGGAAAGTCTGGGTGGTGGGCCACTCGATGGGTGGGATTATTGCGTGTGAACTCGCTATTAGACATGCGCAAAGAGTTGAGGGATTGGTTTTAATAGGACCGGTGGTGCCGAGTCCGGCTTTGACGGAGGTTTTTGGGAAGAGGATGGAAATGGTTAGGAAAGGTATGAGAGTTTTTTTTTTTTTTGAAATTGGGGTTGTATCAGATTACTAAATATAATAGATGGGCTTGAAACGCTAGCCAATTCGATACCAGAAGCTGCAACAGGTACTCAAGCTACATCTACGCAGAAAGCTTTTATTAGGGGTTTGATTCTTGGGACTAGTACGCAAGGCTACATATCATCGTGTGGAGTTATTGCTTCGGCCAGTAGACCGGATTATGCTAGGATTAAGGTACCGATGATCATTCTAGCGGGAAGTGATGATAAGACGGCGTCTTATGAGGGGTGTAAAATGATTCATGATGAGGCGGGTGTGAGTGCGGTGAAGAAGTGTGTTAAGGTTCTTCCGGGGGTGGGCCATTGGCATGCTATTGAGGCGCCGGAAGCTGTGGCGAAGGAGTTTGTGGAATTTGTTAATAGTATCAATAAATAAGTGTGGTTAGATGAGACAGGGAAACAAGAATGGCGTTCCTAGCACGTCTTGTTCAATTCGGTTTTATATCTTGAGATTTCGTCTTTGTACTGTGTCATTGCGTGAATAGTATGGTCAGACTAGTTACAAAGCCAGGATTAGTGGATCTTTCTTTCATTCTCTTCCTTTCATTTGTCATTTTGCTGGCTTGATGCTGCGGTAGATCAGAACATGAGACTCACCGTGATGGAGAAGGACGGCAAGTTGCCAAATACATAGCCACAAAACTAGAAATCAAACATCTTCTATAGTTTCACATATCCATGATGGTCAAATCGACCGATTTCTCTCACAGTTCTGAAAGTGTCTGATGGTGAAGCAGTGCACTGCCTGTGCTCGGCAAACCCACTCGATGATCTCCTCGAAACGGCATAGATATCAAACTTGATGTACATGTGCTCTCGTCAAGTTCCATCTCAGTCTCGACCTCGAGGATCCTCCAAGTTCATGTTTCACTTGATAGATCTCAAATGATGTCTAAGAGTCATCGTCGGTATCCGAGTAGATAGGTGGCGACAGTCATGAGCTTGGTTCATCGGTGAGGACTAATGTCTGAGAGTTATCGTTGAGGTCAGGATAGAGAGTTGGTGGCAGTGATGGGATTGGTTGATTGGTTGATCGCTTCTTTGTTTCAAGTGTTGCGAGGAAAGGATCGGAACTGGGAAGACTTGGAAGGGAGAGTCCTGCAAGTGGACATCGTACTGTAGTAGCTAGGGGGGAAAGGACGTCACTTTGTAATCTGGAACTGGTATCGAAGAGAGGAGATCTTTCGTGCTTCTGGGTAGCTGTTTTTGTCGCTTTGAAGAGCATCTGCTTGTAGAGCTTTGAGATTTACCTTACTGAGCTTTTTTGATTCAAGTGAACTTTGTTGATTTTCTGATCTTATCATTTGTGAAGATCTTGCTGAGCACAGTATTCTCATAGCAGTGCACACATTTTCAAGATAAAGTCATATTCTGTCAGAGGCAAAGTTCTGAATTCTAACCATAAGCTTGTAAATTAAAATAAAAGTAAAATTACAATAGAAATCGGTCCCGCCGTTACTTCAAGAATATTTAAACCACATCTACCATGCGCATCCTATACACATCCCACTCAACCAGTCCTCACATAAACTCTTCAACATTATTTCCCCTACCACCTGATTTTTCCGCCCACGAAATAGCACGCGGTGGTCTCATAGGCATTCCATCTTCAGATCCCCCAACCCTAAAAGCATACAACACAACATCCTCACTTGGACTCTGCACCTGCGTTCCGAAAATCTCTCCCCGAGTACTCATACTCAAATCCGCAATTGCAGCCGAAACCTTCTCGGCCGAAGAAACAGGAACATTGGTATCCAATCCAATCACCACATTCCCATACAATTTCTCATAAAGACTTGAGGGCGCGCGTGGTTCTCTTCCATCTCCCAATCCATCCACAAGTTTCTCTTCATCATCCTCAGATTTCACTGTATATGCTCCTGCGCTTCCTGCAGCAATAGGACTACCCTTTCCATTCGGAACCCAGAATCTCAAATCCACGCGTAGAAATAAATATCCATATACAACTATAATCTCAAGCATAAATCCAGTGGTATAGAAAACAGGTTTGCTGAATAGATGACTAGGTGCACTAAGTGGTTTCTCAATCACAGCTCCGAGAAGACGTGTAATTGCACCAGTGACTAGAAGTGCTGTAGCTAACATCAGAATTATGGGCTTCATTCTGAATCTCCCGGCGCCGAATTTCTCAACAGGAGTAGAAGATGGAATTGCGGTAGCAAGAGTAACGAAGATGGCTGGGAAGAGCGAAAGAAAAAGTGTCCAGCATGAACCGAATAACAGGAGATTCTTCGTTGTTTCAAGAGAGCGAGGATTGAGCGTGAAAAAACTGATAGTGAGAGAGATGATGTTCCAGAATATGATAAAGGGGACTGATATCAAAATGGCGAGGAAAGCTTTCGAGACGATGGGATTCCAGCCGATATTTGGATGGGTAGCGCGGAGGATTCGCTGGGTGAAAATTACGTTTACGGCGAAGAGGACGACAACTCTGGTTGTTCATTAGTACTGAAACTCCATAATATCGATTTGGAAATGATAAAATGACATACCCAGCATTTTCAAAAATCAAGGCCGCAACAACAATACTATTGTTCTCCGGACGAAACGCCCACACAATTCTCATGATGCAAGTTACCTACTCGCACGTCAGCATTGAATTCACTTGATGCCTTTTGAGCAATACTCGGATTTCGTAACTTACATTCCTGACCATACAAAAATCAAAAATCATATCTGAGATAACAAACTTATGACCCCTCTTTGAGTTAATTTCATGTCTAATGAAATGTGAAGCAGCTCCCACAATAAACAAAATCAGAAACACAACTGTAATCGGTACATCGACGTTTTTATTCGGGATTCCTCCGAGGACTGCTGCGACGGGCGAGAAAGGTCCGACTTTTGGTTGGGTAATTGATGGTATTGTAGGATCTAGTTGTGCGGCCTGCAGGGCCGGAGATGGTTTGTCTTCAGTGGGCGAGTTTAGCCCTGCTTGTTTGGCGGTTCCTGTAGTTCCTTTATCTGTGTTGGTGCTGGAGGTGGCGGGCTCGCTTGGTATGCTTGAGGGAGCCATTTGTGATTGTGCGGTGACGGTTTCGGTTGTGGTTATTTCTATCGTTGTCGTTGCTTGAGGCTCAACTGCTGCTGGAGCAGCAGACTGTGTTGTGGTAATCTCGACTGTTACTGTTCCTTGCGCTTGAGCTGCAGCTGGAGCTGCAGCTTGTGTAATTGCTGACATTATCTGCTCTGTAGAAACCGATATTGAAGATGTCGACTGTGTGAATGTTCCATTAGGGGATGTAGGGGAGACGGCTGGTATGGGCGACGCTATAGCACTCATGGTCATCGGCCGCGAGGAAGAAATTCTTGCCGTAGATTGAGCCATCATTGCCAGCGACGGCGCTGTTGTAGCTTGTTGTGATTGACTATTACCCATGTTGACTGTATATTAGATGCACCTGGCAATCACTCTAGAAATGAAAGAAAATAAGATTCGTATGATAATGTATTGTTTTGACAGATGTCAACGTTTTACATGAGCTTGGCTATCTGACTATATCAATGTAGATACTGTACCATTCCACTCGTCACCGCATCGGTGCTTCCCCTGATATTTCTCTCACAACTGGAGTCCGGATCACATTCAAAATGTTTCCCGAGTAAAAGAAACATCCGTGAAATGCTCGCATCCCCAGGTATCACAATGACAAGTAGTTCACGATCGACCTAGATTCGACGTACTTCAAGGATGACCTTAAAGTTTTCAAAAGGGACAGGTCGACGATTCCTCACTAGAAGAAGCCCTGGTCTCTGATACCCTTCGCAACTCCGCGTTTCAAAAAGAAAGACTAAGATGCATCGCAACCTCTTACAATGACAAGTTTGACATTTCACTGAATGAACATAAGCCGGGGTGTGATTTGCCATGATATGAGTTCCTGACTTGACATCTGTCAGTTCGTGAGAAAGACAGCCATGGTATCAGTTGATGGCAAATCCACTATCTATCAACTCTAAATTCGGGTTAATGGCACATTGAACATTCGTCTGGAACTCCATTTTATTTGAGCCCATGAAACAGTGGCCTTGCAACTGAATTCATGAATCTTTCCCTCCTCCATGATGTTCGGCCGAAGAATGGAACTTTGTGAGCCACAATACCGGTACATGTTGGTCTGCAGCTTTCCCTTGGTAGATTCTCTGCAGCTATAACAATACTGCGGAATTTGTTTTTCACAATTGAAAGAAACCACTTCAAGAAAATGGGATTATTCTTGCGGTTGAGAGATTAATCAGTTATGAATTCACATCACTACCTACTTCCGAGCAGTCCATGCCATCTAATTAAAATCGCACAAACAATCTTTGAGGTTTACAATTTGAATTAATATAAGCCTCAATCTTTTCCTAGAATGAAATTCAATCCTTCTAGAAAAAACTAATCGTATTGAATCGCCACTACAATCGTACGAAATACGACGCTCAAGCCACAGAAAGATAAATGCTTTCGCCGATTACTACTCGGCTATGTCCGAGAGTCGCCATTTCGTTTCAGTACTTCGTATCCAGTTTCCGTCACAACCGAAATGGGAATTGCGGCCTCAGACTACGCTTGGATGATTCCTAAAATGGAAAGAGAATTCTTCCACAATGTCCGCAAAAGGAATCGCATGCGGAGGAGAGAAACGGGAATATAAGTAAGGGTCTCGCTGAAAGATATACGCAAGATATTGACGAGAAGCTATGGCCTCTTGAACAGACGACAAAGCATAGGGTGTTCATATCTGCTGTCTTTCAATCAGGCTGTTGAGGCTGTGTAGAAATGTGCCGAAGGAAAATATGGAACAATCCCCTTACGAATATCGATCAAGTCCGTGCCAAAATTTACATTGGTTCCGATAATAAAGTTCGAATGCGAGCAATAATGACGGCGGCTGGTTTACTGAGAGAGCCTTCTCAGACATTTATGTAAGACTGGCATATTATCGTGGTGAACCTGCTCTCGGGCAAAATAGATGAATCATACATACATTTGCTAGTAGAGTATCTGATTCTAACGGTGCCTTTGGAGCTTTCCTTCCATAATGATTTTAAACTCACGTGCAGTTAGGTCTTATAATATGATGCCTGTCTCGAGTGTTGCCTGCATACAGGACAATTCTTGCGTCTTTATTGTCAAGATCCTCGAAGATGTACATAAATACTTATGCGTGCAAACCACTATTCCAGCCTCGCCTGCGTCACGATATGACACGTAAGTATGCAAATCAAATCTCGCTGCACCTAAGTTGAGATGACACATAAGCATGCAAATCACAATTCTAGCTTCACCTGTATCGAGTCGACACATTGAGAACTTCTATATGCCACTGCACTGGCGATAATATTCACCTACTTGGCTATGACGAACTATCACGTCTTAGAAAAAAGAAAATTCCACAGCTTTCTGTCTGCTTGCAACATCATATCAAACTCATCGTTATGATTTGAATACCAAAAGTGCAAGAGCGGCTTCTCAATGAATCTACAGCTTTTCGCATGATGCATTCTTCGGGACCTTTCTGTCCGTTCGTAAAGTCATAGTATGCTGATTAAGATGAGATGATTGTCGGAAGTGGCTTTTCTCTGAACTTGCAGCCTATTGTGGGATGAATGCTTCCGCAAACCTCTGCGATTTTGGAATATCAAAATAAATTCTTATTATGATGAGATGGCTTCCCCGTGGGCTCTGACTTTGCGCCGTGTTTGACAGCGTGTGTCTGCAGCCATCATAAATGCATGAATGTATTGATGGTTCACGCCAATATCTTGGATTCTCAATCTTAGTCCATGAGAACTCGATTTTTGGTAAATCAGTGAAGATAGAATCGTACATGCATACATGTGCACAGTAGAAAATCGATCTTATTCAGCACTCAAAAGGTGGTGAAGAAGGTTCACAGAAAAGCAAATTGTGCATTAGTTTGTGTGTGAGATTCATGAGCTCACCTCGATCATCTTGGTCCTTACTCAGATCAACGGGAAAGTCTTATGAGGATGGCTGGATTGTCGGTTGTTGATTATTAGCCTAGTATCCGACTAGTGCGGCTGTCAGAGCAGTCTCGCATAGTTCGGATACCGTCGTATGCATAGCGTGAATCTTACCCAAACCGCATCTAGCCTAAAAAAAAAATCCTATTGCCGGCAGAACCGTGGTTTCCGAGCTACCTCTTGTGAACAATCGAGTCATCATTGGTTGTAAACTTTGACTCAAAGTTCCGCTATGAGTTACACTTTTAACCAACAAATAGAAGGCTACGCGGGAGAGTGGCAGATTAGGCAGCATAAGAATGTAATTTTCGTAAATCAGCCCGTCATCAATCCATCGGGTCGAGAATGCTCTCAAATGGCATGTATGGAACCGATCGACCAGACCGATCAACCGTAAGTCACTTATCCTAGGTCCGAAATTGACGTGTTGCTCACCGGCAATCTGAGTCCCGCCGTCTCCGGAAATATTTCACCATGAAATCTTTGACACGCGCGTGGAATTCTACTCGCATGCTAACAAAAATTGTCGAAGTCTGATCTTTGCGGTAGGACTCCGCATTTAGCGTAACTAGCTAATCGATAAAGTGACGATGGAACCCTAGACTGGTCACTAGGTTTCGCTTCCTCTCTTTTTGGCCTTACTCCTTGTACATTCGCATCCTAATCATGGTTGCCAAGCTTGGAGACCTGTATATTTCAATCCATATCTTAAACTCTTCGGACCAGCCCTAAGGCTGACTCGAGAAAGGATTTTCGGTCGAAGTTTTAACTAGTTGAAGGCAAGTAAAAACTCACAACGAATCTGTAGACTGTAGGACGTTGCATGTGGCTTTGAAACGATCAATTCAATCACCTACAAGTTTTGCCACCTGGGCACCTAAAGAGTGCCGTGATACTTTTTTTGTAGTGTCCTCATAAACTCACTGGTCCCAATACAGGGCAAATTCCAGCCCCTAAATTGAAATAAATTAGCATCGGAGAAATAGTCCACAGACATTCGATGTGGCGAAGCGAATTGATTAATTCATTCGTCAAGTAGTATCTTGTAAATTGAAAAAAAATATTGTCGGTCGTTGAATTTTTTCTTGTTTCGTATTGCGAGGAGGGTCAAAACATGCCGTTTTTGGGGGTGGGGGTTTCACAAATATGTCTGTTTCAAAAATTGATGAGAAATATTTGACACAACTCGCAGAATTTAGCATCATGCAGCCTCACCATAACAGCTGCAGCAATTTGTGGAATTGAGAGCTTGCCTTATCGCCGAGAAGCTGTACTGAACAAAATCCCCGTAACATCACATGCTAGTAGTATCCATTCTTCGAAAACTGTTCAGTTCTTGATACAAGACTAACTGTCAAACACACAACGTATTTATCTAAGGTCCTTTTTAAAATGAAAGGGACGCTTTACCTGAGCAATGTCCAAACATCCACCACTCGATAGACGATGACTAACTCGGGACCGATGACAATTCTCTTGCTTAGAATACATAGTTGCGGTGATGACCTAATTACTCGGTGCTCTCATATTCAAGCGGTCTACTTGAAAAAGTAAATTCAAGAGGCTTAACAAAACCCATTGGTTCCACGCATCTGGGAACTAAAGATTTATCGTGAAAGATATACTGTTTCTGTTTGCGAACCAATGAGCGTGTGCAATGCAAATCCATTAAAAGAAAATTCAAAGCTTATCTTCCTTAACCCTTGTTGATCTGCGTTGCCCGCCGGGATGTTAGCGCAATAAACATGAGCAAACCTCGAAAGAAAAAAAGAAACTATGGTTAGGTACTCGAGTAGTGACAACTTAGTCTACTGAGCACTGCACTGTAATCGGTGGTACCAAAGCGTCAGAACTGTCCGCCTTTTCCAGAACGGGATCCGTGCAGGGGTAACTCTGCCAAATCATCTCTTGTGCTATGATCGACGTTTAGCGGAACAAGGGGATATCGATAGCTAGAAATCAATTCACGACTGCATCGAATTGATTTTCCCATTTGCATGCAAGATGTATGCCATTGTAAGTGTGGGTACTGTTGCGCAGTGTTTGATCAGTTAAGATACGTACCTAATCAATACCCACTTCTTTACAACGTTTAAGCCTCTTCAAGAATGAGCTAGCGAAGTCATGGTATTTAGCAAGGTTTGTCAGTGCAAACATCAGTCTCTCTACAATGCTTCTCGCAAGCAATCAAGGGCGTCGAAGTTCGACCACACTTTTCCGTGTTTCAAGTCATCTTTCGATAGTCTCATGTATCCTGACTTTTGCCCGGCACGTCAATTTAGGATCGAGATTCTGATCGCCAACAATAGTACCTCTTTTGATTACGAGGAGCTAGCGTCACTGAAGAGCTTGAGCGCCCAGAATCTTACTGATATTCCCAAAGAGTTGGCGGGGTTGGTGCACTAT